GCGGCAGGTTGAAGAAGTTCAACACAGCGTTTGAGGAGCTGGCGATAAAGCAGGCGGGGTGGAACATCCCCGATGAGGACCGCCGCAAGAAGACCCGCAGCAGCGTTGCCCGCCGCCTGCGAGAAATCTACTCCGCCTTCCTGCTGCCCTACAGGTGCGCTGCCTTGGCCATTCTCTTCTGCTGCCCACAGGTGCTGCAGTCCCTAGGCCTTCCTGCTGCCCTACAGGTGCGCTGCCTTGGCCATTCTCTTCTGCTGCCCACAGGTGCTGCAGTCCCTAGGCCTTCCTGCTGCCCTACAGGTGGCGCGTGAATGGGGAGTGGGCAGCAGCACACTTGACGTGCCAATATCGTGTCCTATCCTATCCCAGTCTGGCTGCACTCTCTGCTCCCTTATTTCTGCTCACATTCTTATCGTGTTTGCATGTGTGCCTTTTGCTCTCTCTGCATATTTGCTGCTGTGTGTATGGGGTGGCAGGGAGGAGCTGTGTGAGTTCAAGACGTACCGCTATTCACCGGACGCCATAGAGCGCGTCGTGCTCGACTACTTCTTCCTCGCCACTCCCTCCAGAGGCCTCCCCATCTCCTTCGGATAGCCACACCTGCCCATCTCCTTCCAGTAGCCACACCTCCCCATCTCCTTCCTATCTCCTTTCCGTCTCCTGTTGAGTCGCCTCGAAGCTTTCCATCCTCATCATCTCAGAAAGCCACGCCAGCTCGCCCACTCCCTCTCCCTGCACAGCCACTCCTCATTGCTACCTCCACTCGCCGGCACCTTGTCTCAGCAGCGCCTGCGCATCACACGCGCCCCGTTGAGTTGGGAGTGCCGTGGCATGCCATCCCCCCCAATGGAACGGGCAATAAGGCTTGCTGAAAGCGCCCAGTCTGCCTGGTCATGTGGCCCCTCCGACAGCAGCAAGGAACAACACACCCACTCACAGTAGCAGTAGCAGCAGCAGCAGCAGCAGCAGCAGCAGCAGTACCCAAAGCATTCGCACCAGTAGCAGTAGCAGCAGTAAATGAAGCAGCAGCAGCAGCAGCAGCAGCAGCAGCAGTGTGGATAGCATGCTGGCTGCAGCACATGCACGGCAATGAGGCAGTGGAGTGCGAGTGCAGCAGCATAGATGTACTGTTAGTGAGCCATGGTAGAGGGGTAGGGTCACTTGCAGCCTTAGCACATGCATTCTTCATTCGGAAGGTGCAGCCCTCTTGGCACTGCCCTGTTGATGTTGCACAAGATACTTGCTAGTGAAGATAGTCTGAATTGTTCTGTACAATAAGTAACAATGTCAGTTGCTAATTATAACTGTCGAGGAACAAAACGTGTACAAACTACGGTATGCCAATCACAGTACGGTAACGGTGGTAGCCTCAGACCAGCTTCAGCACAACTATCATGCTGCCGGCACTGTGCGGCGTGGAGCTGTGGTAACCAGTGGGGCAAGTGGCCACACTCACTACTTGGCCACGCTCACTACCTGGGCTCCCTCTTTGCCCTACCCTTGCCCCTTCTATGGCTCTTCTCCCCCCCTCCCCCTCTCTTGTCCCCCCGCCCCTCCCGCTTCTCCCCCTTGCCCTCCCTCCTGCCCCCCCCCACCATCTCTGCTGCTTTCTCTGACAGCCGCCGCCGCCGCCTGCCCCGCCCTGATGCCCCCCGCCCCTCTGCAGCCGCCAAAAAAGGGGGTGGGGGGAAAGGGAGGGGTGGGGGGGAGGGTGTGCGAGAGCGAAGGTGGGTGAGGGGGAGAGGGAAGAGCACAATGGGAGATGAGTACAGGTTGCAAAACATCTAAGTGGCATCGCTGAACCCAGTGCGTGAGTGGTGTTGGTGATACAAGTGAGCGCTGGTAATCAGCGTGAGTGTTGCCGGTGACTACATGCACTCACACCGCTCACAAAAGAACCTTTCCTCACCTGAGTCACTGTCAGCGCCAGCCCCGCCACTGCCCTGCCCCTCCCCCTCCTCCCCCTCCGAACCACTCTCCTCCCCATCACTCCCACCCTCCCTGTTCCGCGCCCTGCCCCCCTGCCCTTGCTCCTCCTCTGCATCCTCCGCTGCGGCGTTGGCAGCGGGGGCAGCGGCAGCAGTGGGCGGAGGGGGCGTGGGGAGGGGGTGGGTGGGGAGGAAGAGCAGGGCGTCAGAGGAGTCGTCAGAATCGCTGTACGCCGCCACGCGCTCCACCCTCTCTATGTCCACCTCCTCCCATCCACCGCCCTCCTCCCCTGCGCTGTGCCGTGCAGGGGGCCCCAGCCCCGGGTCAGGCCAGGCGTCGAACTCGTCTTCTCGCTCCACGTACTCCTCGTTCTCCTCCAGCTCACGGAAGTCAGGCGCGAAGGCACTCCAGCTCTCACGGTAGTCCTGCGCCCACAGGTAGATGCTGCCGCCGCCCGACAGCGACGCCATCACCTTGCGCGTGGGGTGCCACACCAGGTCCGCCAGGGCCTCCTTGGGGCCCTCCAGGATGCGCACGAGCTGCCCGAAGGCGCGGTTCCAGATGTGGATCTTGTGCTCGCCACGCGCCGCCACGCCGCCCACCACGAACTCGCCGTCGCCGCTGAAGCAGGCGCTGCGCCAGTGCACGCGGTTCACGGCGTCCTGATACTCCTTCACACACGTCACTGCCACCACTGCCCGCTGCTTGCCCCGTGCCACCACCTCGTCTGCACTCGGCCACCCCCCGCCCGCCTTGCTACCCCCTGCTCGCCCGCCCCCGCGCTCACTGTGCTCTGACTCCCCAGCTCCGCTCTCGCCTCTCTCCCAGTTCTGCTTCGCCCCCCTGGTCTCCCCGCCAGCGCCGCTGCCCTCCGCGCCATTGAGGGCGGCGGTGGCGAGGGAGAAGACGCGCAGCACGCGGTCTGTGCAGTTGGACAGCAGGAACCGCCCGTCACGACTAAGCGCCAGCTGGCGGATGCACGCCGCCGCCCATCCAGTGCTGCCGCTGCTGCCGCCCGCGGGGGAGGGCACGCCGGGGATGGCGGCGAGGAGGGCAGCATCGGGCACGGAGGCAACGAGGATGTGGCCCGAGGGCGCGCCCACCAGCGCCAGGCTGCCGCTCTTGTCAAACACCGCCGGCCATGGCAGGCTCCCCGCCCCCACCTCGCCCCCCCCGCCCCTCCCGCCTTTCCCTGCTCCGCCCCCCGCGCCATCTGCCTTGGGGGAGGTGGGGAGCGGTCGGAGCTTTCCGGAGGGGAGGTGTAGGAGGGCGGGGGGGGCGCCCATGGGGCAGACGAGCGCGAGGGACGGGGAGGGGGAGGGGTGCAGGCGCACGTGGAGTGCGGGTTTGGGGAGCGCCACGGAGGTCACGGGGGAGCCCGCCGCCACGTCCCACAGCACCACGCGGTGGGGCGACGGCGGAGCATGCGGCTGCGCGGGGGAGTGCGCGTGCGCGTGGGCGGAGGGGCCCGCGGCGGTGTAAGCGGCGAGCAGCAGGCGGCCGCATTTGGACAACGCGACGCTCGTGATCAGCGACGGAGGCGGAGGGGGAACGGCGGAGGGCGTGGAGGACGGAGAGTCCGCCGTGGCAGGTGAGGTGGTCTCATGGGGGGGCGGGAGGAGCAGCGGGGGCAGCGGCAGCTCCTTGGCCACTCCGCGCGTATCGAAGTCCCAGATGACGCACACGCCGTCCGCGCACCCCGCTGGCGAGGGGGGGAGGGGCGGGCAAGGGGCAAGGGGCAAGGGGCAAGGGGCAAGGGAAAGAGAAGCTGGCGTAAGGGGAAGGGGAGGTGGCCAAGGGGGGGGGCGCGCAACGGACTGGCGGATGGAGAGAGCCATGACGGCGGTGTGTGGCCGCGCACGCAGAGCCATGGCGTACCTGCGAGCAGCGTGCCACGGCGGTTGAAGGCGATGCACTTGGCGGCGCGGTGGTCCAGATACTCCTCGATCACTTCGGGAAAGTCGTTCTGAAACGGATCTGCCTCGAGGCGCGCGCGCCGCCGTTAGTGCGTTGCGACATGCCAAGCAACGGGAAAGACGGGAGCAATGGGACTGAGGCTGGGCGCGGGAGGGCGGCGCACGCACGAGAGCGGGCGAGAACGAGGAGAGGGAGAAACGGGGAAAAGAGCGAGCCTGACCTAGCAGGCTGAGATTCATCGCGACGCTCGACCAATGGCTGCACGTTCCAGCATTCGACGAGCGCGGCACGTGCGACGAGATAGATGATCAACGTCCAAGAAGCTGCTTTGGATTTTGGAGACAAATGTATGAAATTAATATAATTATGGGAGTTCGAATTTCCATGAGGGAAAACGAGTGTTCTGAGTTTTGAAATTTACAGCATGCTTTCGGTGCAACATCAAGGTTGACAATAACGGATACAGGTCAACCAATTGCATACGTTCCCTCGTCACTTGGGGCTTGGCCAGGCGCCCCACGTCCAGTCCCCCTGCGACGATTGAGTCACATGCCACGACTGGCTGAGAGCCATCCAGCCTTCTCACGTCGCATCCGTTTCGTCCACATTTCGCCTCGGCCTGCGACGCACACCCTGTCGCCCACTGGCCTCGCCCAGCCTCCTCTGGGCTCACCTCAAACCCTCACCGCACCCGCCCAGCACCATTCTATTCTGCGACTCACTGCCACCCTACCGCTTCCTAAAGTCCTCCCACTTAGCCGCTCTTGCTACTCCTGCTACTTTTACTACAGCCTTTCGCTTACCTCGCTAATTACCTGTTTTTAGGGTTTCATCGAACTTTTTAGCGGCTCGTGGCATGCGTTACGTGTGAGCGCGCGGTGGAGGTGAGGCGCGGGGCGACATGGGATGCTTCCTGTCCGTCGAGGTCGAGGCCCCAACTGCGCCCTCGTCCAAACCCGCAGGTGAGCACTGCCGCTTGCTCGTAACGCTGCGTATTGCACGCGGTCGTTTCCCACGACGCCCGTGCCACTCGCGGTTCCGTGTTTCTCGCCGCTGTTACTACTCCCGGCACTGTATCGCCGTTCATCACTGCCCCCTTTGTCGCCTCGTGTGCAGAGGGCAGCCAATCTTCATCGTCGGGGGCTCCTAGGTCTATGAAAAGCGGCGGCTCGAGCGCGGCGTTATCCAAATTAAAAAGCTCCACATCAGGGTTAGGGGCGGACCCGGGAGGGGGAACAGGGCCGCCGCCAGCGCGGCGGCTGAAGCTGAAAGAGTTTCTGACGATCACGAACAGCTTCGACGAGAACGGCGTTCTAGGGGAGGGCAGCTTCGGCAAGGTGTACCGCGGCGTGTGGGAGGAGACGCCGGCGGGGCGAGGCGGGGGGGGCGAGGTGGTGCGCACGCAGGTGGCGGTGAAGAAGCTCAACCCGGAGAGCTTCCAGGGCTACGAGGAGTGGCTGGTGCGCCCCCCCCCCCCCTCCCTCTCGCGCGCACCCCGCGCTCCCCGCTTTGTCGCGCACGCCCTTCCCCGTTGCTATGCCCCTTACTCTGCGCTCTCGTTTTTGCCACGCGTCTGCATGGTCGTGTGTTGTGTCGTACCCAGCCTGTGCGCGTTTGACTGACGCGCGCGCATTGCGTATGGGGGGGTTGGGGTGGGCGGGCGGCAGGCGGAGGTGCTGCTACTGGACAAGCTGCGGCACCCGAACCTGGTGCGGCTGGTGGGGTACTGCGCGGAGAAGGGCGAGGCGCTGCTGATGTACGAGCTCTGCCCCAACGGCTCGCTCGACGACGTCCTCTTCGAACGTACGCCCTTTCCGCCCCCCTTATGCATTGTCCTGCCATCGCCCCGTGCTGCTATTTCCCCGTCGTCGCCGTCGGCGCGTGCCGCAAGGCAATTCCAAGTTTAATATCCCGCATCCTCGGCGTGGCGTGCGTGTGGTGGGCGTGCTGTGTGTTTGGTTGCGTGTGGGCATGGGCGCGTGTGTTGCACATGGGCGCGTGTGTTGCACATGGGCGTGGGTGTGCGTGCGGTCGCACATGGGTGTGGGTGCGCGTGTGGTTGCGCATGGGTGTGGGTGCGCGTGTGGGTGAGCATGGGTGTGGGTGCGCGCGTGTGTGGCGGTGAGCAGCGGAGGAGTACGTGTTGTCGTGGGAGCAGCGCGTGCGCATAGCGCTGGACGCGGCGAAGGGGTTGGCGTATCTGCACGAGAGCAACATCATCCATCGCGACTTCAAGGCCTCCAACATCCTGCTCGCCGAGGTCAGTGCAACATCCTGCTCGCTGAGGTCAGTGCAACATCCTGCTCGCCGAGGTACCAGGCAACGAGGGTGAGGGGCGGTGAGGGCGCAGGTCCGTGCAGCATCCTCCCCTCCTCGCCGTGCAGGAGGGCGCAGGTCCGTGCACCATCCTCCCCTCCTCGCCCAGGGCAGTGCGTAGCTCGTCGCTCCACTGCGCTGTATGGCTGAGCGCGTTGCCTCGCTCTCGGCGATTGGGACGCGCCTTTCGATTGTGTTACCCGCGTGCACTGCTCCACAGCTGCCCCTTCTGCTGAGCCCGCCCCCCCTGTCCCCATGCCGCTGCATCGCATTTATCAATGCTTCCCCCCTTGCCACGTGGCTGCCACACGCGCCACATGGGTGCCACGCGCGGCCACGGGTGTGCGGTGGATGGCAGGACTACTCGGCGCGGTTGACGGACTTTGGCATGGCGCGGGCAGGGCCGGACGGCGGGGAGACGCACATCTCGACGCGAGTCATGGGCACGCTGGGCTACCTCGACCCCACTTACATGGAAACCGGTGCCGTACCTTCCCCCTCCTCTCCCCCCTCCCGCCCCACCCCTTTCCTCCTTGCCACCCCCCTCCATGCTACGCCCTTTGCACCTTCCTCCTTGCTTCACTTGTTTCCACTGTCTCCCCCCACTGCTGCTTTGCCTCCTTGCATGATCTTCCCCACTGTTGTTCTTTCCGCCCGCTCATTCTCCTCTCCGAGAACTATGAGGACTTATGTAATTGCTTGACCGAGCATCGCCCATGTTCCTCTCGGCACTGTCACTGCTCTTGGCCTCCGCCTTGCACCCTCCACGTGCACCCACACGCCCTCCACGTGCACCCACACGCCCTCCACGTGCACCCACACACTCATCTGCCACCCCCCACTCCACGTGCACCCACACACTCATCTGCCACCCCCCACTCCACGTGCACCCACACACTCATCTGCCACCCCCCACTCCACGTGCACCCACACACTCATCTGCCACCCCCCACTCCACGTGCACCCACACACTCATCTGCCACCCCCCACTCCACATGCACCCACACACTCATCTGCCACACCCCCCACTCCACGTACACCCGCACACTCATCTGCCACACCCCCCACTCTACGTGCACCCACACACTGGGCACGGTCTGGCTCTGAAGGGCACTCACCTGCCATGCCCCTGTGCCCCTTCCCCCCGTGTGCGCGCATGTACAGGGCGGTTGACGAAGAAGAGCGACGTGTACGCGTTTGGAGTGCTGCTGCTGGAGCTGCTGACGGGGCGGCGCACAACCGGCGAGAGCGGCAACGACAGCCTGACGACGTGGATCCGGCCGTTCCTGTCGCAGCGGCGGCCGGACCTGAACCTGCTGGTGGACCCGCAGCTGAAGGGCGAGTTCAGCAAGGCGGGTGCGGTGAAGATGGCCATCCTGGGCAAGCACTGCATCCACGACGACCCCGGCCTGCGCCCTGACATGACCACCCTCGCAGAGAACCTCGAGCTCGTTGACATCAAGGACCCTGCGCCGCCGCCCCAGGCTGGATGAGGCGTCGGGCGAGGTGGGAGAGCCGCTGGCAGGCTGTGTGGCATCAGTGTGGGAAGCATTATTGTTTTGTTGTGCGCCGATGCTGTAGTGTAGATGTATTTATAGTGGTGCGTGTGCACCTGTGCCTGCACAGTTGTGCAGTTATGTTAGAGAATAAGAAATGGGTCGTGTAGGGTACTTGTCTTTAGTGGTATTAGAGCAAACCACTTGGTGATTTCAAAGGTGGCAGCTAATATTCAGCGGGGAGTGTATGCGGCAATGCACATGGGGAATTGCTAGATATCTATGGTATGTGTATATTCATCCAAACACTTCAGAGCACAGGTGTTGAACCCTGTATTGAGAAAGCTTGCTTTCTTATTCTTATCAATTGGCATCGTTCTCATTACAAATGGCTGTTTACAACATTTGCATCACAATTGAACACAAGCTTGAGCATGCTCATATCACTAGCTACGATATACCCTATCCAAGTGGCATGCGCAAAACGGTTTACGCTGGGGTAGGTGGTGGGAAGGTTGAGTGAGCCGTTTGAAAATAGAGAAACGTGGGTGGAGGAAATGAGCTCCAACCCACGGTTTTTGTAGTTGGAGAAGGGCGTGTTGGGCTGAAAAAGCCCTTAGGATCTTTGCAGGACTAAATTCGGGGTAGGACAATGTAATAGCGGAAGCGTTAAGTAAAAGGCTTGTGAACCACCTTGCGCTAGTATGTGAGGGCAAAGTAGATTGATTAATAGCAAAGAGATACAAGCTTTTATAAGAATACAAGGGAATATGAAGGGTTATAACTAATAACCGTTTTACCATTGCTGTTGCGGTTCGATACAGTGACGACTCGGGCAACTGCTCAATAGCGAGTCAGTTGTTTGTCCTTGCTGTCGCGCTGTACTTGTCAGGTCAAAGGTCGCTGACCTTTGACTTTCGCGTAACCTCCAGCAGTTGTTCAACCTTCGAGAGTTGACTCGCTGATGCTTCGATATGTTCTGCTTTGCTTCTGACTTGGTGTTTCGACACGACAGAGGCGCTTAAATCAATTGTTTCCAACAGGGCGTTTAGCGCGCTTCGACGATGCCAATTGTGCAATACAAGCAGCTTCGTTTTCACAATACACAATTTTGAAAAACACTATGTGTGTTTAAAAATTATAATATTGAGAAAGCTTGCTTTCTTATTCTTATCAATTGGCATCATTCTCATTACAAATGGGGTCGCTGAGACATAGGCAGCGGGGGCCTCCGGTTACGTACGAGTGCCTCTGTGTGTTGTGCAGAAGTCACCACATGCGTCGGATCTTGTAGGTTGCGGGAGGCTTTGATGAGAGGCTCGATTTATGGCGTGACATACATTTCCTTTGCTGTGTCGCTTCGCCATCTGCCCAGCCGTTTGAAGACTATGTCTGGCACTCCAGTGTTGGCTGCTACTGTAGCTGCACCTTTTCGGAAAGAGTGAGTGCCGAGCTGCAGCTCGCGAAGGCCAACCTTTGCGAAGGCTTCATTGCACCAGTTGCGGATTGTAGTGTATGAAGGTGGCCTCGCCTGCCCTTTGCTAGTTGAAGCATGGCCGAAGACGCGAATCAACGGTCCTTCTGACTGAGGGCCATAGCCGGCAAGTTTGATGAAGCGTCGGGTACAGCGAACTGGGCAACAAGGGTCCGCTGTTGCTGCAATGGGAATCCATGTGCCATGACCGGCCTGATGAGTCTTGGAGTGTGGTATGAGGATCCACATGACCTCTGCGTCGAATTGAATGTCTTGCCACTTTATGGCCACTAGGTCGGAGTATCGCAGAAATCCTGAGTACATGAGGATGGGGATTAACCCTTTCTGGAATTCCGCAGGGTCGTCGGACTGCAGGTAACTTTCGGCCATGTCTCGAACTTGTTGGATCGATACGTGTTCCTTCGGACGAGTAGGGCGAGGGCAATGTCGTTTTGCACAGTCACGCACTTGGGTGGTGAATGGTCCGATTGTTGGGCATTTGCTCCCAGTCATGCGATGGGCGAAGCTGACTGCCGAGCACGTCAGCTGCACTACGGACAGGGTGGCTTTGCGTCGGATTGCGTGTACCAGGTATAGTGCGAGGGTCATGTCAGAAGCTGGAAGAAAGGGAAGATGCACTTTTGTGCAAAATGCTCGAAACTTGGCCCAGTATGGTTCGTATGTCCGGATCGTAGAGTCAGCGCGGGATTGTGCAAGCATGTTAATCAGTTGGTCGTGTAGCTTCGGGAGCAAATCTGAACACAGGCGCATACACTATGAATTAGTCAAAAACCACTCGCAGTGCAATGATTGGGCTGTGCGCTAGTCCTGTGCCCGAGAAGGCATTGGAATGGGACCCTACATCTAGGCATTGGCTTCCGTGTGTCAAGGGGATGTGCGCGTGGATGTGTGGGGCCCAAGTGCATGGGGAGGGCTGCAAAAGTGGCCACCAACTTGCGCCTGGCCAGTGCGGTACTATCAACGTAAGTGATGCATGGGTGCGTTGTGCATGGTGTAGGACAGCTGGGACCAGTTGTGGTGGGGGAAAAGCGAAGTTGTTTTCGGATGTCCATGCAATCGAGAACGCGTCAACTGCGATGGCTTTCGGGTGGGGAATCTTTGTGCAGAAGCGTGACAGTTGGGTGTTGCGGGAGTTGGCAAAGAGGTCGATGGAGTGGGGACCCCAACGACGTTCCAAGATGCAGAACCACGGCGTTTTCAATGCGTAATCATCGTGGTCGACCATTTTTGAAAGCTCGTCGGCGTGTGAGTTGAGCTCGCGCGGAATCCATTCGACGATCAAGCGCATGCCGAGCTCGATGCATGTACGGATGATGCTCTTGCACGCCGTTGTGAGGTCAGGGCTACGAGAGCCGCCTTTGCGAAGGATGAAGAATACGCCCTGGTTGTCCACACGCACGAGAACGTGTTTCTGCTTGATCTTGTTGGCGTACGTTTGGAGCGCCCAAAGGACGCCTTCAATCTCCCGCCGCGTGCTAGACGTTGCTCGTAGCGGCTCTGACATGGTTGTGCTAGCTTCTTCACGGCCACCAGAGAATGTGGCCAGAGTGGCGCCCCAACCGTGAGAGCTGGCATCCAAATGGATTACTGCATCGTAGCTGTTCCGGACATGAAGAGGTGCACCGTTGAACCGGTCAAACTCCTCAAGCCAAAAGTGTAGCTCCGCTGCTGCGGATGGGGGAATGACCACGCTGCTTTTCCATGACGGTGCATCGTTGATCACTTGTAACATGGCGTGGCTGAATGCACGAGCGGTCGCGCCGAGTGCGACACCCATTGATGTGAGCATGCCTGTGATTCTGGCCATGTGGCGGACCGGGACTGGTCGGCACGCATTGTTTGCGCTCAGGAGGTTCTGGATGGTTGAATGTAGCGAGGCTCGTCGGTCGGGACCAATGGAGAATCGGCCGGTGTCTGTCTCAAGTTCTATACCCAAGAATCGGAGGCGTTGTGTTGATGTACGCTTCGGTCAACACTCGCCCTGACATTGCGTTTTCAGTTTCACAGCTCGCTCGTGTGGTGTCTAGGCCCCTTCAAGAGCACCTGGATGCAGCAGAGAGGCTGGTGAGGTACTGCATGGCAACCTCAAAGGTGGGGCTGCAATATTCAGTGCATGGGCAACTGAAGCGAAAGGGAGTGGAGGAGGTGAGCACAAAGACTGGTGCACCTGCAAGGCGTGGGCACTTGTACCTCTCGTGCTTCACCGATGCTACATGGGCAAGTAACATCAGTGATGCTACATCCCATGGTGGCTATAGATGCTGTGTTGGAGGGAGTCCAGTGAGCTAGAAGTCTAAGAAGCAAGGAGAGATAGCTCACTCATCAACGGAGAGCGAGTATATGGCGTTGTTTCATGGAGTGAAGGAGGTGGTTTGGATGAGGAGGTTGCTTGAGGAGTTGGGGCAGGAGCAAGAGGGTCCTACACCTATGTTTTGTGACAGCCAAGGAGAAATTGCAATGGCACGTAATGCGGTGCTCCATGGGCTGAACAAGCACATGCATATCAAGTGGCATTGGGTGAGGAAGGAGGTGAAAAATGGCACCATCTCCTTGCACTACATCAACACTACCAAGCAACCTGCAGATTTCTTGACTAAGCGGCTTGCAGAGCATCAGCATTGGAGCTGTGCCACCTTGTGTGGCATGTCCTTTAACTAAGGGAGGCAGTTGCAGGGAGCAGCTAAAGGATGAATGAGAGCACGATGAGGGGGAGTTTGTTGTGCCAAAGCACTATAGTGGCACGGTCATCACACTCCCATTCCGCCTACGAGTTTGCTCAGCTTCTGGAATTTTGTGGGGAGGTGCTTCAACATGTGTTCTTCAGACCCTAAAAGTTTCATATTTTTTCAAGCAGTTTACAAGGCATGGCAACATTTTTATTTTCAAGACTTATGGCATCCCGGAAGTGTGTGTTACTCTTTTTTGGTAACACTCGAGTTCACCATTTCGGCTGCTGACTCATCTACGAAGATTTGATTGGTATGAAAATCGGTGTGGCAGTCCTTTGCCGTGTTGTGCAGGTGGTCACCGAGTTTCACGACAACCCAGCATCGGAGCAGCACGTGACAGCTGTCGAAAGTTACTGTTTCGTAGTCATGGTGCACTGTTGGCAGCATTTCCCTTGCCACCCTTTCATTGTTGTCATGCCAATGCTGCAGGGACAGAGAATGAGACAAGAAGTACAGGTGGTCAAGTGGGAATCTACCACCCTCCTTTTGAGAAGTTTGGTCTTCCTGGAAGCAGTTTGCAAGAGAGTGCAAGTGGGAAGACAAGCTGACTCATGGTTGGCTTGACTCACTATTGGTGGCCTTGAGTACAGCTCTGAACATCCAAGTGTGGTTGGCTTTGCTGACCTAGCTAGGACGTTTCCCATCCTTCTCTAGCCTTTCTCCCCTAGGACTCAACCTTCTCTGAGTTCCCAGGATGGTCCCAACCCCTTAAGAGTCCCCAGGCAATGTCGTACTCACCTCTTCCTTGCATCAATGAAGCTACTCGTTTTTCA